ATCGGCGATTTCGCCGACTTTGAGCCCTATTTTCAGCCAATTCCATTGTTCCAGTTGACCAAACTCATAGCTATTTCTTTAGAACTCCATTTTATCTATCAGCTGAGTACAAGAAACCTCCCATTTACTAATTTGGACTACTCAATATGGTGGTCAGAAATTGGCAATTTGGCCAATTTCACGCAAACTAAAAAAGATGCCAATTTCAAAATAGGGTCCAGAATAAACAAGGTAGACATTCGTGGCACTAAAATATCATATGCTCTGTTCATTAGTCACATCTCTAGGCCCCTCTTATATTATTATTGCTTTCTATTTTGATTTTTTATTCATACAAAATTTACTGTTATGCAGACTACTGCATTATTGTAAAAATGGTATAAATAATACCAGTGCACTAGTGAAAGAATATTAGACTCCCCAGTTGACGTGTATTGGACGTGTGGTGTGATTTATTTACTCTTGAACATTGGTAAAAATCGAACATTTCCGCTACTTTGAGCTCAGTTCCAAGGTCGTTTTCATCGTAAAAGTAATGAAAATCATCTCTATTTCTGTAATATGTCTTCCATTTTATCACCTAAGACCATGAAAACGCGAATACAATGATAAATACTATACGAAAATACACCTCAAAGTCGGCGTTTTATTCCAAAAAAACGATCAGTTTTTTTTTTCTCATTACGCAATGTGTGCTGCAGGATTTTTTTTATGTGGTGCACATTGACCACACAGACCCATTCTCTCACATGTGGGCCTACCAGCTTTCTCCCGCTTGATTTGAAGCCGCTAGAATTATTGAGTATATATACGTCAGAAACATTGGCTGTAAGACGTATTTATACGTCGAAAACAGTCAAAGGGTTAAAAATGCAGTATTAGTGGGGCAGAAGTTTGTGGTTATAGGAGAGTGGGTGCAGGAGGAAAGAGGAGTCATTGGTGGAATGATGAAGTAAAGGTGTGATAAAAGTGAAGAAGGTAGCTTATGAGAGGTTTTTACAAAGCAGAAGTGTTATAAGAAGAGTAGAGTATATGGAGAATAAAAGAAAGGTGAAGAAAGTGGTGAGAGAGTGCAAAAGGAGAGCAGATGATAGAGTGGGAGAGGCACTGTTAAGAAATTTTAATGAAAATAAGAAAAAAAATTGGAGTGAGTTAAACAAGTTAAGAAAGTCTAGGGAACGAATGGATTTGTCAGTTAAAAACAGAGTAGGGGAGTTAGTAGATGGGGAGATGGAGGTATTAGGTAGTTGGCGAGAATATTTTGAGGAACTTTTAAATGTCGACGATGAAAGGGAGGCGGTAATTTCATGCACTGGCCAGGGAGGTATACCATCTTGTAGGAGTGAAGAAGGGCAGGATGTGAGTGTGGGGGAGGTGCGTGAGGATTACGTAGAATGAAAGCAGATAAAGCATCTGGAACTGCTGGGATCATGACAGAAATGTTAAAAGCAGGGGGGATATAGTGTTGGAGTGGTTGGTATTTTTGTTTAATAAATGTACAAAAGAGGGCAAGGTACCTAGGGATTGGTGGAGAGCATGTATAGTCCCTTAATATAAAGGGAAGGGGGATAAAATAGATTGTAAAAATTATAGAGGAATAAGTTTACTGAGTGTATGTACCAGGAAAAGTGTATGGTAGGGTTATTATTGAAAGAATTAGAGGTAAGACAGAATGTAGGATTGCGGATGAGCAAGGAAGTTTTAGAGTGGGTAGGGGATGTGTAGATCAAGTGTTTACATTGAAGCATATATGTGAACAATATTTAGATAAAAGTAGGGAAGTTTTTATTGCATTTATGGATTTAGAAAAGGCATATGATAGAGTGCATAGGGGAGCAATGTGGAAGATGTTTCAAGTATATGGAATAGGTGGTAATTTACTGAATGCTGTAAAGAGTTTTTATGAGGATAGTTAGAGTGTGTAGAAGAGAGGGAGACTACTTCCCGGTAAAGGTAGGTCTTAGACAGGGATGTGTAATGTCACCATGGTTGTTTAATATATTTATAAATGGGGTTGTAAAAAAAGTAAATGCTAGGGTGTTTGGGAGAGGGGTGGGACTAAATTATGGCGAATCAAATACAAAATGGAAATTGACACAGTTACTTTTTGCTGATGATATTGTGCTTATGGGAGATTCTAAAGAAAAATTGCAAAGGTTAGTGGATAAGTTTGGGAGTGTGTGTAAAGTTAGAAAGTTGAAAGTGAACTTAGAAAAGAGTAAGGTGATGAGAGTATCAAATGATTTAGATAAAGAAAAATTGGATATCAAATTGGGGAGGAGGAGCATGGAAGAAGTGAATGTTTTCAGATATTTGGGAGTTGACGTGTCGGCGGATGGATTTATGAAGGATGAGGTTAATTATACAATTGATGAAGGAAAAAAGGCGAGTGGTGCATTGAGGTATATGTGGAGACAAAAAACGTTATATATGAAGGCAAAGAAGGGAATGTATGAAAGTATAGTGATACCAACACTCTTATATGGGTGTGAAGCTTGGGTTGTAAATGCTGCAGCAAGGAGGCAGTGGAGATGTCCTGTCTAAGGGCAATGTGTGGTGTAAATATTATGCAGAAAATTCGGAGTGTGGAAATTAGGAGGTGTGGAGTTAATAAAAGTATTAGTCAGAGGGCAGAAGAGGGTTTGTTGAGGTGGTTTGGTCATTTAGAGAGAATGCATCAAAGTAGAATGACATGGAGAGCGTATAAATCTGTAGGGGAATCATGGCGGGGTAGGGGTCGTCCTCTAAAAGGATGGAGGGAGTGGGTAAAGGAGGTTTTGTGGGCAAAGGGCTTCAACTTCCAGCAAGTGTGTGTGAGCGTGTTAGATAGGAGCAAATGGAGACGAATGGTATTTGGGACCTGACTAGCTGTTGGAGTGTGAGCAGGGTAATATTTATTGAAGGGATTCAATGAAACTGATTATTTTTATGTAGCTGGACTTAGAGTCCCGGAAATGGGAAGTACAATGCCTGCACTTTAAAGGAGAGTTTTGGGATATTGGCAGTTTGGAGGGATATGTTGTGTATCTATATACGTATATGCTTCTAAACTGTTGTATTCTGAGCACCTCTGCAAAAACAGTGATAATGTGTGAGTGTGGTGAAAGTGTTGAATGATGATGAAAGTATTTTCTTTTTGGGGATTTTCTTTCTTTTTTGGGTCACCCTGCCTCGGTGGGAGACGGCCGACTTGTTGAAAAAAAAAAAAAAAAAAAAAATTCTATTTACTCGTCTTGATTGTGTGCTAATGGAGTTACAGGAAGCTGACACTGAAGAAATGCTGAACATTATCTTTGATGCACCTGTTGTGCATTCCTTGAGTGATGCTGAAAGTAGATGAATTGTGATAGATAAATAAGCCGTAGAGTTGATATTAGCATCATATTGATGTATCTTGTCATGCTTCCTGAGAGCAGGAATTCCGCTGGAATGGATTAATGCCATTTCATTTAATTTAAATGAGGAAAATTGACTCGGCATACGAACAAATCAGGATACGAACAAGGTCACGGAATGGATTAAATTCATAAGCCAAGGTTCCACTGTACACATGCAGGATTTCAGGTACATCTTGCTACTTTTAACCCTTTGGGGGTTTCGGACGTACTAGTACGTCTTACGACCCAGGGTTTTTGACGTACTAGTACGCCTAAATTCTAGCGCCCTCAAATCTAGTGAGAGAAAGCTGTTAGGCCTACACATGTAAGAATGGGTCTATGTGGTCAGTGTGCGCAGTATAAAAAAAATCCTGCAGCACAGTATGTAATGAGAAAAAAAAAACTTTGACCGTGTTTTTGGATTAAAAGAGCGACTTTGCACTGTATTTTCGTATGGTATTTATTGTTGTATTCTAGTTTTCTTGGTCTCATTTTATAAAATGGAAGACATATTACAGAAATTGAGATGATTTTGACTGGTTTTACAATGAAAAGTACCTTGAAATTGAGCTCAAAGTAGCAGAAATGTTCGATTTTTACCAAAGTTCAAAAGTAAACAAATCATGCTAAGCGTCCAATACACATCAACTGGTGAGTCTAATATTCTTTCACAAATGCGCTGATATTATTTATACCATTTCTACACTAATGCAGTAGTCTGCATAACAGTAAATCTTATTTTTTTTGTAAGAATAAAAATTCAAAGTGGAAAGCCAAAGAAATATAAGAGGGGCCTGGGGATGTGACTAACGAATAGAGAGCTTGTCATTTTAGTGCCAGGAATGTCTTTCTTGTTTGTTCTGGACCCTATTCGGAAATTGGCATCTTTTGAAATTTGTGTGAAATTGGCAAAATTGCTAAATTCTGACCACTTTATTGGATAGTTGAAATCAGTAAATGGGTGGTTTCTTGTACTCATTCGATAGAAAAAATGTAGTTTTAGCGAAATAGTTATGATTTTTGTCGACTAGTACACTGGAATTGGCCGAAAATAGGGCTCAAAGTGGGCAAAATCGCCGATGCGTAAACATCGTCGAGACAGCTAACTTTGCAATAGCATAATTCCATAAGTTTTCCATCAAATTTCATACTTTTGGTGTCATTATGATCGGGAAAAGATTCTCTCTTTTCATAAGAAAATTTTTTTTTTTTTTTTTTTTGAAATTTGGCCAACCCTGAGAACAAGTCTCTGAGAGGACCTGTCGACCCTCAAAGGGTTCATTGCACTTAGGTCACACTACACATGCATGCACAAGCATATATATGCACACCCCTCTGGGCGTTCTTTTATTTTCTTACTAGTTCTTGTTCTTGTTTATTTCCTCTTATCTCCATGGGGAAGTGGAACAGAATTCTTCCTCTGTAAGCTATGCGTGTCATAAGAGGTGACTAAAATGCCAGGAGCAAGGGGATAGGAATCCCTTCTCCTGTATGCATTACTAAAGTTAAAAAAAGAAATTTTCATTTTTCTTTTTGGGCAACCCTGCTTCGGTGGGATATGGCTAGTTTGTTGAAAGAAGAAGAAAATTTTGTTTTCATATAAACTGCACAACATTATTGCAGGTGATGCAGAGTGCAGGTGTTGATGGTGAACAAGTGTTGCTGCTTCTGGAGGATCATCACCTAGTGACCTCAGACTTTCTTGAAATTATCAACTCTCTTCTTATGGCTGGAGAGGTAAGTCTTCACCTTATAAATGTTGTTTGTGTGTATGTTGTATTGTACTGTATATCTTTCCACGTATTTTTTTTTTTTTTTTTTTTTTTTTATTTTGCTAAATATCAATAGCATTTATAATTTTAAATCCTTTACATTTATTTTTAACTCACAGCTACCTGAAGTCAGGTTTTCCTAGTGACCACCTAATTAGCTAGACTATTGCTGCCTATGGCCTGCAGTTCACATAGTCAGATAAATGAATGTTTGATATAAGCTAAGCCTTAGAAAGGCAATTACTATTTTAAATTAATCTTGTGTTCTTTAAAATGAGACATTTAACTCTTTCTTTATCTCTTACATAGATCTCCATCACTGATACCAGGGTCGCTTATGTAGATCAGTGTTTTGAGCTCAACTCCCTCAGATAAGCTGTGAGTAGTAAATTTTGGCCTGAATATAAGAAAATGGGTCTGTGCAGTGAGTGTGCACACTATAAAAAAGTTCTGCACCAAGGGTTGCATGATGGAAAAAGTAAAACTCTGACCTTGTGTGCGGTTTAAAATAGCTAATCTGCGGTGTTTTCTAGGATGTTTTTCATGTTTTTTTTTTTTTTTTTTGACTCTTGGTATCATTTCATAGAATGGAAAATATTACTGCTGAAATAGATATCATTTTGGTTGGTTTCAGGACCAGAAGTACAGTGGAACCCAGGTGTTCGTCTTTAATCCGTTCCAGAAGGTCGGCTGAAAACTGATTTGTACGATAACTTAAGTAAAATTTCCCATAAGAAATAATGTAAATCCAGTTAATCCGTTCCAGACTCCCAAATATATTAACAAAAAATGCATTTTATAGAGAATAACTATAGTTTTACATACAGAAAACGATGAGAAATAATTATAAATAACTAATGGAATGGTTAAATGAACATTTAAATCACTTTTACCTTTATTGAAGACTTGCTGACGTATGGAAGACGGCGAGGAGGGGGGAGGGAGGAGAGGTTATCTCTACCACAATCACTACCACCCTCTACCATAATCACTACCACCCTCTACCACAATCACTACCACCCTTTACCACCATCACAACCACTACTGCCCTCTACCACAGTCACTATCACCCTCTTCCACTATCACAACCACCCTCTACCACAATTACTACCACTCTATACCACCATCACTACCATCCTCTACCACCATCACTACCACCATCACTACCACCCTCTACCACCATCACTACCACCCTCTACCACCATCACTACCACCCTCTACCACTATCACTACCACCATCACTACCACCCTCTACCACCATCACTACCACCCTTTACCACTCACATCACTACCACCCTCTACCACCATCACTACCACCCTCTACCACTATCACTACCACCATCACTACCACCCTCTACGAGTAACAAAGGCAGACCGAGTCATGAACGTATGAGCAGCCACGTCTCGCGGGCAGGCAGACATGTCTGATACAAATGATTTCCAAGCGGACGTACGAAAACAGGTGGAAAAATTTCACTGAAAAAAGTGGTTGAAAACTGAGTTGTGTGATAACCGGACCGGATGAAAACCGGAGTTCCACTCGAGTTTGAAATTGGGCTTAAAGTAGCAGAATATTCGAGTTTTGCCCATTTTCCTGAGGGCAGGTAAAGCTCCGTATACCCCCTAGTCTTTTTTATGGGTTTTTATTAGGTCTGCTTCAATTACTGGGACACTGTAAACCATGAGATATCATTCCTGGTTATAATTTATTATCTGAGAAATAGGGTACATCTTCCTCTTTTTTTTAACACATCGGCTGTTTCCCACAAAGGTAGGGTGGCCCGAAAAAGTAAAACTTTCATCGCCATTCACTCCATCACTGTCTTACCAGAGGCGCACTTACACTACAGTTATAAAATTGCAACATTAACACCCCTCCTTCAGAGTGCCAGCACTGTACTTTACATCTCCAGGTCTCAAGTCCGGCCTGCTGGTTTCACTGAATCCCTTAATAAATGTTACCTTGGTCACACTCCAACAGCACGTCAAGTCCTAAAAACCATTTGTCTCCATTTGCTCCTGTCTAACAAACTCATGCATTCTTGCTGGAAGTCCAAGCCCCTCGCACACAAAAACCTCCTTTACCCCCTCCCTCCAACCTTTTCTAGGCCGACCCCTACCCCACCTACCCTCCTCTAGAGATTTTTTATGTGATGAATTAAAAATGGAAGGCAAGTGTAATATAAGAGATGCCTGAGGACATGATTAATTGTCAGAGAAAATGTTTTAGTGCGTGGAATGTCTACAGTGTTTATTTTGGACTGACTCTTATTTAAATTTTTTTTTACTTTTGTGTAAAATGGATAAAATTACCAACTTATGTACACTTTATGGGGAAGTGTAAATAGTTGAATGGGCATTTTCTTTGGCTTAGTCGAGGGAAAGAAGGCATACTAGCAAAACAGCAAAATGTTTCTGTTAAGGAGTGCTGCAGCAGCAGGAGGCTGACAGGAGTGATGTTACGTTTGAGAGCAATGTGTGGTGTGATTATAATGCAAAGAATCGGAGAGTACAGAAATCTGAGAACAGTGTGGGGGTTAAAAAATAAAAAAGCTGTATTCATAGGACCAAGGAAGGGTTGTTAACCTGATTTGTCAATTTAGAAAGGATGGAGCAGAAACAATGACAAAAAAAGGAGTACTGTATAAATGCAGGGTGGAGGAAAGAAAGGATAGTAAAAAACTTCAAAGTAATAGGAGCTTAATTAAGATCAGACTGAGTGGAGACGTGTGGATTTTAGGGTTTGACATGATATTGGAGTGTGATCAAGTAGCACTTATGAAGGGATTAAGGGGAACTAGTTAGCTGGGCTTGCTTAGGTTCTGAAGGTGGGAAGTACAGTGCAGCACTCTGAAGTAGGGGTAGGAAAGTTACAGATTGGAGGGTTATTTGAATTGTGATTTCTCTGGATTTCTGGCATGACGGCTATTGAATAATAGCATATGGGTTTCCTTTTTTGAGTCATGCTTCCTTGATGTGAGACAGCCGACATGTTAAAAACAGGATAGTATTAGGTTTTGTCAAGTTCTGCTGTGTTGGAATATTTTCACCTTTTCATTGGAATGTTTATGAAAATTCACTCATTCCTGTCCTTATTATTGCAGTTATAGTAGATTAAATCTTAGTTCTTATTAGGTAGTTAGTAAAGATTAGACATGTAAATTGTTGCATCACATATAATATGTTTAATGCTGATGTGTTACACTGGTGAATATGGCAAATAATGTTGACTTGTATTGTTAGGTTCCTGGGCTCTATACTCCTGAAGAACTCGACCCACTTCTCATGCCACTACGGGACCAGGCAGCTCATGAAGGCTTCCGGGGTTCACATTATGCATACTTTGCTTCAAGTAAATACAAATTTCTAGGCTTACAGTATTCAGCATTTATTAATTAAAAGTAATGTGTGTTCATACCTTCTATTCCTTAGATTTTTATAGACCAGTCTAATTATAATTCTGTAATAATTTATTGATGGTAGTTTACAAAGAGAGAAGATTGTACTAGTCATGTGAAGGTGGTGGAATGCTTGACTTTCTTAAGTGAACATTGGGTTTTGCAATACTCATATTGCTTTTATTACTATAGTGTAGACTTGGGTGTATTTATCAAAGTGATTCAAAATCCAGTAATACTTTTATAGATAATTATTTTGTAATAAAGAATAAATTTCCTTGAGGTTTTTATAAAACTTAAGATTTTTGTGTACTTTTTGCCCATATATGTAAAAAAGAAAAGTATGATGTTCTTACTATCTTCTTGTATTTATAACATTGCAGGAGTGATGAAAAATTTGCACATTGCTTTAATTATGGATTCAAGCAACCAAGAGTTCTCTGTACAGTGTGAAAGTAACCCAGCCTTGTATAAGCAGTGTTCTGTTCTCTGGATGGAAGGCTGGGCACAAGAAACTATGATTCAGGTATGTTAAACTCAGGTTTAATAAAATTCTGTGTTGTTCTTTTTATGGCTCACTTTTCCATAGTCAGATTTTTCCAATACTTGTGTCTTTCTATCTTGTTAAATATTTTTTTGGTCTTCCACTTTTATGTGCCTACTTAGCCATTCCTCATCTTTTTTGTCCTCATGATAGATTTTTCTCACAAGTTAAGAGCTGTGTCACTAATTTTAGTAATAAATTAGAACACCAGAATCTTCATTATACAGTATATGTATATGAAAAATTAATGAAAAATTCTCCACTGTTTGTGACTTTTAGATTAATTAAATATCATGTATGATAACATTGTCAAGGACTTCCAAGAAAAACACTGAAAAAATTTTGTAGGCTTAATGTCTTGTTCCTTAAGAGGACTGGGGTTCTTTCAAATGTATAAATTGATTAAATGTAATTGTAATTAATCTCAGATTCCAGACATGCTCTTGGATGAAACTGAGAGGGACCAAAACAGTGGCTCAGAGTTCCTGAATTCCTTCTTAGCAATATACGAGAGTCTACCAACTCACCTTGCAACACCTCGGCGGTATCTAACCCTTCTTCACAGTTATCGTTTAATTCATAACACAAAGAAGGAAGGAGTCATACAACGACAGCGCCATTTAAAGGTAATGTTTTCATGAAACTTTTTAAGTTGTGTGATAAAACTGATCAGTAGTTTCTTGAAATAGCTACACATGTAAACACTAGTAAAAGGTGAAAACGTTCTCATGAAGCAGTGTAATTAGTGGTCTGCCTCATTGCTCAGTGCTTGCTGTCATAATGTTCAAATCTGTATAAATGACTTGGGATGTGCAGCACCTTCACTCTGAAGGAAGGGATGGGCTCTTGTTGTTTGGGGGTCAGCTAAATTGTGATGTCTCCACACTTCTTGCAAGACAGATTAACAATGTGATAGAAAATGACTTGCCAAGAAGATTCCCAATTTATGTGAATAAATATTAACCCTTAAACTGCCCAAACAAATTTACGTTCACATGCGTAGCGCTCCAAAAGTAGATCTACATTTTTTTTACATATTTTCAAATACTATAACAAAAAAAAAGTAGATCAAAGTTTTTTTACACATTTTCAAATGTAAAAAAAAAGAAAAGAAGATCTACGTTTTTTACATACAGTACTTTCAAATGTTGAAAAAACGTAGATCTACGTTTGGACAGTTTAAGGGTTAAGATGCAAAAAATTATGGAACATCCATTCTTGTAAAAATAACTGCACATTCCTACAGGAAAACTAGTACAGTAGGGCCCCCAACTTACAATATTGATGCATTCTAGAAAATTCATTGTATGTCAGCATTTCAGTACTGGGAACCTGTTTTCCCATAAAAAAGTGTAAAATTAATTAATGCGTTCCTCGGCCATAATATTCCACATCTAATTTCAGTTAATTTTTTTCCAAACACTTTTTATCCAGTGTTATATATACATTCAGTACTTTTCTTTTAATTTACACATAGAGGGTGATACAAGATAGTGTGGGTGAGTGTAAGGGTGAGTTCTGTGGGTGTAGGGAGGGGGGGGAAGATGTACAGTTGAGTGGTGTGTGTGTGAGAGAGAATGGGTAGGTGTGAGGATGAGTGGTGTGAGTATGAAAGAGGATGGATAAGTATGAGGGTGAGTAGTGTGAGTGTAAGAGAGGATGGATTGGTGCAAGGATAAGTAGTGTTGGTGCGAGAGAATAGATGGGTGTGAGGGTGAGTAGTGTGAGTGTGAAAGAGAATGAATGAGTGTGAGGGTGAGTGGTGTGGGGATGAGAGAATAGGTGGATGTGAGGGTGAGAATGTGGGTGTAAAAGAGGATGGGTGTGTGTGAGAGAGGATGGGTGTGTGTGAGAGAGGATGGGTGTGTGTGTGAGTGAGTGGTGTGGGTGTGAGAGTGAGTGGTGTGAGTGGGAGAGAAAACAGATGAGTGTGAGGGGTGAGTGTTGTTGGTGTGAGAGAATATGTTGGGGTGTGAGAGGGACAGTGTTGTGTGGTACAAAGCTACCAACTGTATGTGTCCAGGAAGCAGGTAGAAGTGCTGAGCCAGTGTGTCCTCCCTGGGTGGGTCCCAGACAACCTATCCACCAGTCCTCCACCTGCCAACCACAATGACTGACATACTAACACAATATAAATATTAAATTTACAGCTTTTTTAATCAGTCTGTACCAAACAAATATGAATTTTCTATACATTCATAATATGATCATACCAGTGCACAAAGTTTGAATGCATTTGGTAAAAAAAATAACCAAGAATTTTTTTTTTTTTTAACACGTTGGCCATTTCCCACCGAGGCAGGGTGACCCAAAAAGAAAGAAAAAAACCCCAAAAGGAGGAAAAACCCAAAAAGAAGGAAAGAAATAAAAACTTTCATCATCATTCAACACTTTCACCATCACTCATACATAATCACTGTCTTTGCAGAGTCACTCAGATATGACAGTTTAGATGTTTCTCCAAACTGCCAATATCCCAAACTCCTCCTTTAAAGTGCAGGCATTGTACTTCCCATTTCTGAAGTGTGAGTCATTGTTCATAAGTGTTTATTTGGTTTGAAAATGCCAATGTAGTCTGTGTGAAACCTCGTGAATTGGAACCCTACTGTAGTGTGGTATGTGTGATGGAATTTAATTATATACTTTGTAATAGAAATGGAAGAAATTGGAAGTGTGCCTCATGAGGTATCCCCAGTATATATGTAGAAAATTATTAAATATTGAAAGAGGTGGGGGCCTAGCACCCACCAGTGACACAGTAATGTAACTGGAAGACTGTATTGGTGAAATCGTGAGGAACTCTCATGCAATATTGGCTTAAAATCTTGCTCTTATATATTAGACCAAATCACAGAATGGAAGTGTTATGGTGCTGCTGCTAAAGAAAACATCTGAACATGCTAGAACAACTCCAAAGATGAGCTCTAAAATGACTTTCAGGGATAAAAATTGTGTTACACAGAAAAGCTGTAAAGAATTAGATATCCCTTCATTGGCTAACTGGAGAGAGAATAGACGTGGTAACAATATACGTACTATGTTATAAAATAATACGAAAGGACAAGAAAACATAGCTATAAAGTAAGGAAGAGGAGGTGTGGAAAAGAAACTGGAAAATTCTTCACTGAATGGTTGTACGGTGAAATAAGTTATAAGAGGAAGCAGTCAGTGCTACAATCATTGGAAAAAATTATATGGTGAATTAAATGCTGAAGATGAGGCACCATGAGCATTGCTCTGTTCCTTTATCTATAAATAGGTAATCACAGATAAATTAGTAATCATATACTCTTATGAAGTACACATTTTTACATTTTTTGAGTGATCATCTTGAGTGACAAATTCTGTGTTATCAGGCTGGGGTGGCGAAGCTCAATGAAGCACGTAAGGTAGTAAGTGAGCTCAAGGCTGAAGCTGCAGAAAAAGAAGCTGTATTAGCAGAGAAGCAGTCAGAAGCTAACCATGCCCTTGAGTTGATCACTGACACCATGAAGAATGCCAATGCTCAGAAAGTTCAGATGGAAACATTGAAAGACCAAACAGTAAATGAAAACAAGATTATTGCTGAGAGGTAAGTACCACCCTCATTACATATTATACATTACTGGTTGGTCTGATGTTATATTTTCACTCAGTATGGTTTCTTCCATAAAGAAATATCTTGGCTTCTCCTTTTTACATATTCATGGCATAATTGTATTACTCTTATGTGTGTGCTAAATTGGAGTGAGTAGAGACAAGTGGTTTATGGGATCTAACTTCTTGTTGTAATATGAACAGAGTAATTTCTATGAAGGTATTTAGGGAAACTGGTTAAATGGATTTAAGTTCTGGAAGTGGGAAGTGCAGTACAGAACTCTGTAGGATTTGCAGAGATAGTGTAAATCGGTTGGTCATTTGACTTGTGATTTTTATGCTTTTCTGGAAAGAAGTGCATGGGACATGAGCAGCATGTTATTGAAAGAATTTTTCAAAGCTGGTGATGTCTGCATATACATATTCTTCCCTTGATCATCTATCATATAAAAATTTATGCACCTTTGTCAATCATTGATGATTTGCTTCTTCCCAAGAAAGTAACCCCCTCTACCCATATTGTGGTTCATCATGCACATTGTACCTTACCTCATTTAACTTAGATGCCTGAGACAAAGTTTTTTGTTAATTTTCATTAATATAAAGGACAGGAGTTACATTGTATGTGATGAGGAATCTGTTTAGCAACTTTAAACAATCTGGTAATTTATATACAAGAAGAGCAGTCCACTTAACATCTTCGAATGATATGGTCAGATTTGCATGGAGAGCCAGTTATAGGTTGTCTGTCTTGACTGTATTGTCCCATCCTCAACATTTGTCCATCATTATTGTCCAACATTCTTTATAGTTTGTCCATCTGTAATGTCACATCCTCTGCAGTTTGTTCATCTTTATAGTTTTAACACATCCTCAACAGGTTGTCCACCTTTATTGTCTTAGCACATTTTGTTTATCTTTACTGTCTTAACACTCCCTTTACAAGTTATCCATTTCTGCTATCTTAACTCTGTTTTTCATATTTTTAATCAGAGTTTCACACAACAGCACATTAAGTTTTGTCCCTTCCTGCCTTATTCTTCAATATGGCATTTATTACACCAACCACTTTACTTTCCAGTATTTTTTTTTTTTTTTTCAACAAGTCGGCCGTCTCCCACCGAGGCAGGGTGACCCAAAAAAAAGAAAGAAAATCCCCAAAAAGAAAATACTTTCATCATCATTCAACACTTTCACCACACTCGCACATTATCACTGTTTTTGCAGAGGTGCTCAGGATACAACAGTTTAGAAGCATACACATATAAAGATACACAACATATCCCTCCAAACTGCCAATATTATATTTTTATATTATTTTGTATTATATTTTTATAATCTCATAAGCAAATATCAGTATTGTCCTTTCACCTTAATATACTCTAACATAATTTCAAAATCTCCCCATTAAAATTCATTAAACTTTGCTTTTCTCCACTTTCAGTCTTTGAAAGTAGAAAAATATTTATATAATTTTTCCTTCATCCTCTGTACTGTTCTTAAGTATACATATATAATGTACTCTCATAGCTCTCTCAGCTTCTCTGTTCAGCTGCAGGCTCTCACCTTGTGTTTTTGTCACAATTACTTTATTATATGATGTTTATACAAGTGCATTAACACATAATACAATACCCCACAGTATAAGTTCTGAATATTTCATAATACCTTGATACTATGTTTAGTATTCTTTTATGCATTCAAGAACAACTTATGTAATCACCTTAGACTGATCTGGCATACTTCAACAAAAATACCATTTTATTATCTGATTCATTAAATAAATATTTATCACAGATCATTATCTTCTTTCTTCTTTCAACAAACTGGCCATATCCCACTAAGGCAGGGTGGCCAAAAAGAAAAACAAAAGTCTCCCTTTTTTGACTTCAGTAAAGTATACAGGAGAAGGGGTTACTAGCCCCTTGCTCCCAGCATTTTAGTCGCCTCTTACGACACACATGGCTTACGGAGGAAGAATTCTGTTCCACTTCCCCATGGAGAACAGATCATTATGTATTATTTTAATGAAATTGTATTCATTATTTTTCTTACGTAAGGTATGCCTCAACCACCATAGAAATTCTAGTATTTATCTTGGTATATATATCCTTACTTAGTTAGAGAAATGTTTTTTTATCAAAAGTTGGTAGATAGATAAGTTTTGTCTTATTTTCCACTGAACAGAAAAAAGGCAATTGATGAAGAGTTAGCAGAGATTGAACCCATTGTGAGAGAAGCTAAAGAGGCTGTGGGCAACATTAAATCAGAGGCTTTGACTGAGATAAGGTAAGTAAATGTTGCTCTCCATTAGTATAAGCAGTGTTTAGGAGATTATTCCTAGAGTAATATTAGCTAAACAGTAGCATATATAGGTGAAGGTTTGTTAGATAAGTGTCTGCTAAAATGCTTGGCACAGGTGTGCTCCTCAAAAAATATTGACCCTGATTTTGATGGGAGCTGTTATAATTTTTGTTTGCAGATGACAGTGTTAATGGAGATTTAGATGAGAAGCTGCAGCAAACTAATCTTAGTTATAAATATTGCTGTATTATTTATGCTAGTCTGTCTTGGCCTTGTAGGTTCACAAAAGTATTGTATCATAGCTGATTGTAGTAATAAGTTGGTCATATTCTGTGGCAACACTGACTCAGAACTAAATATGCTGTCTGTTATTTACAACATTTAACATGCAGAACAACACTATGGCACTTTACCATAAAATATGAAACTTTAACAAAAAATTTATCATAAATTTAGGTCCCTGAGAAAAAGTAGTGTTGATATTAATGACCCATTAAAATATCTATACAGTATATAGATTTCACCATCATAATCATAGCAGGGACCGTGCTAAAACAAGTTGCAACAGATGTACATGTTTAACATATCTGGGTACACAATTAACAAATGTAGATCAAATAGGTATGTATACAGAATCCCATATACTACTAACATAGAAAATGTTTGTAATAATCATAAATTTAATACATTAATTGTACAGGGCACATGCATAGCACAAAGCCTGAGATCTTATGAAATAACCTTGATGATGGCTTGTATGCATTCTGAGTTGTGGATCCCAATCAGTAGAAATGCTACCCATATACAGTGGACCCTCAAGTTACAAACTTTTTTCATTCCAGACGGCTGGTCAAGTGCTGTTACTGAACGAATTTCCTCTCATCAGGAATAATGTAAAATAGATTAATCTGTATCAGACCCCCAAAAATATACTTACAAAAGTATTTACAAAAAATACACTTACATAATTTGTCATGTTGGGAGTGGTTCTTAACTCAAGGGTCCACTGTATTTCTGTGTAGTGTGATAGCTCAGTTATTATAGTACATTTACAACTTTCACAGTATTTATGTTTGAAAAGAAATATGACATTGTATTCAAACTTTTATTTTATTATTTACAAATTATTGGACCTTACTATAATTGTTAAATGACCTTATAGTCCAGTCAGGTTAGCTTCAAAAAGGGTTCAGGGTGGAAGAAATTGCAACAGAAATGAAAACTGCAGGTTGTAGTTTTATACACCTTGCTAGATACTATACTAAAAGTAGAGAAGGATGGAAGTGGTGGAAATATGTCAGATTTTCCTGAAACCAGAACGATTTCATGGATAATCACATTATATATTTTCATATTTTATTTTATTATTAACCCTTTGACTGTCGAGGTCGTACATGTACGTCTTACGAGGTAGTGTGTTTGACGTATATATACTCATAAATTCTAGCGGCTTCAGATCAAGCAGGAGAAAGCTGGTAGGCCCACCTGTGAGAGAATGGGTCTGTGTGGTCAGTGTGCAACATATAAAAAAAATCCTGGAGCATGCAGTGCATAATGAGAAAAAAAAACTCCGACCGTGTTTTTTTTTAATTAAAATTCCGACTTTGTGGTCTATTTTTGTATAGTATTTATGGTTGTATTCTCATTTTCTTGGTCTCATTTGATAGAATGGAAAACATTATAGAACCTGGAAATGGAGCTCAAAGTAGGGGAAATGTTTGATTTTTGCCGATGTTCAAAAGTAAACAAATGATGTCATTGTCCAATAAATGTCCAACTAGCCATTCTAATATGCAGTCATGAATGGGTTGATGTTATTTATACAATTATTACAGTATTGCAGTAGTCTGCATAACAGTAAATCTTCTATTTTTTGCTTGAATAAAAATTCAAAATAGAAAGCAAGAGTAATATCAGAGGGGCCTGGAAACATGACTGATGAACAAAGCAAATGTTATTTTAGAGCCAGGAATGTCATATTTTTTAATTTTCGTGAAATTGGCCAAATTGCAAATTTCTGACCACGTTATTGGGTAGTTGAAATCGGTAAATGGGTAGTTTCTTGTACTCAATCGATAGAAAAAATGGATTTCTTAAAAAAATAGTTATGAGTTTGGTCAACTGGAACAATGGAATTAGCCGAAAATAGGGCTCAAAGTGGGCGAAATAGCCAATTTGTAAATATCGCCGCTTTGCGAGAGCATAATTCCGTCAGTTTTCCATCAATTTTCATGCTTTTGGTGTCATTACAATCGGGAAAAGATTCTCTATCATTTCATAAGAAAATAATTTTTTTTTTTTGCGACACCAGGAGACACTCCAGGATTGGGGGTTGCGACAGTCAAGGGGTTAACATACAATGGAATATTTTGTATCAAATCAAAGGTAGCATCAAAAGCTATTAACATCTACCTGTGCAATAATGTTTTGTTAATACATTAAAGAAAAATAAGGAAATTAAGGCCATTGTTGTTCTAAAATTGCTGTATTTTAAGTACTGACTTTCAACTGTTAATTCTGTTTTACACTGTTACACAATTACTGCATTATGGTAACTGTATCCTATCCTGCCATCCTTTATTTAAAACAGTTTTGAATCAGTAGTTCAGGTATTTAAAGAACGGTAGATTTGTTTTTCTCATTATCACTAGAAAACTTATTAACAGTACTTTTAGGTTATATTCATACCATATATTTTCAGAATGCATAGGTAAGTCAGACAGCTGATAAAGATAATGTGACCACATAAACAAAGTGTACCAAATAGTGATGTTACATTTAGAATGACAGTTGATATACATCAGTCTACATCATGGAATCTACTCAAACTCAGTATTGTCATTTTTGAATAGGGTATAAACAGATGACATGGCATTTGTGCAACCTACCCCTCTGCAATATCCACAAGCATCTGAGCACTACACCATGCTTCCTGCAGCTACACCTCAGGGTATCACAATTCACTTGACAGTTGGAGTGTATTACATGCAGCAGTAGCTGTGAAGTGGGTGGCAACCTGGTTGTTTTAAGTTCAAAATTAGTAAAATTCTCAATCCATCCTAGCCACTCTTGACTTTGGAAATACATATGTACACTGGTAGTGAGCAGCTTCAGCAGTTGGATGGAGTTTGTGCACCTGCATGAAAGAGCAGCCTCTCTCTCAGCCTTCTCACAAAATTTTCTGTAGAGCAGGACATCCAAGCCCTCACTATAGTCACCACCATATAAGCAGGTCAGGACCTTCTTACCAGAACTGGTGACTTCTTCAGAAGATTGTTTCTAGAAGATTACTGCTTCCTTCTTAAACTTGATGTTGCTTCCTAAGTGCACTCCCTTTCCAACACCGAGAGACTTAAAGTGATGTCACACCCAGTAATGGCATGCGTGAATAGCAGCAAGGAACGTGTTTCTGGACCCAGTTCTGTCTTCAGCCACTTGATGTTTCAAATCCTTCTCAGTTTCTTTGAAGTCTGCTGCACTTCTGGTCTGAACACAAGTGGAAATGCATGCATAACAGTAGCAAGAGGTATGGATCTTCTCCAATAAAGGTACTAGTAGGATGCTTGTTTAAATTGTTGGCCAAACAGTATTCTTTCTTTGTCTTGATTGGCACCCCTTCTACAAAGCTGACCTTGGCACCAACCACTCCTCAAGACCTTTGACGGTGAGATGTGTCCTTTGTAGAGGGACCAGTTTCATAGCCATCGAAGACAACCATGGCATCAGCATACCTCCTTTCCACATAGGTGACATGGAGTTGGCAAGTGGAACCACATGTGGTATCTCATGATGAAAGTAACTTTTGGAGTATTGAGTCACCATTGAATACATAGCACATGTCAGTTTTATTTTCCTAAGCAGGCATGTTTACATTTTGTGCCAATTTTCAAACGGCATCAGCAAGTGAAAACTTGAATGAATATTAAAATAGTATAAAATATTGACAGGTTGGTAAGTAAGACACGCGTGCAACAGTTAGGCAACAGTTTCGGAATAAAGATACCTAACTGTTGCACGTGTCTTACCAACCTCTCGGTATTTTATGCCATTTTAATATTGACTGTGTCAGACTCTGCAACACAATGATATCTCGGTACAGAACAGAAAACACCTTGGAAAACTTTTACAAGTAAGAATGGTTGGTTCTGAGAGGAGTGTGATCTCTCAGTGAATACATTCTTTCTTCTGACAGTATATAAGGCTCCATACTGTCACTTCAACTTCATATTGTTTCAGACTATGGAACTAATACTTTTTTCCAGGCCGAGGGACTGATCACCTCAAAACTACATCTTCAAGGGTGATGGACTGATTACATCATCTTCACATCTCTCCTGCTTTTACCAACTTTTCTGTACTTGACTGAAGAAGCCTACTGTATAGGCAAAACATTCCTAAATATAGATACCTAACTGTTGCACATGTGTTTTACTTTATAAATGATAACTTGTTGGCCTCTTGAAAAAGTCCATTTCTTTCAGACATTGCTGATGGAATGCTTCATAACTTGTAGTGAAAGATGTAAACAACATTGTCATCCATGTTCTTTGCAGCTTTTATCAGGCACTGAAACAGCTGTGAATCAACATGAATGGATTCACCATCAACTTTTGCTGAAACCTTGTGGTCAAGTGTTACGTGATTCTTATTCTTAAGGTGTACTCTGTCGTTTCTTCCTTTCATGCTCTCAAGGATTTTGCTGCTGTACATAACTCAACAAGATGAAATTTTTCTTCTTTCAACAGACTGGCCATATCCCACCGAAGCAGGGAGGCCCAAAAAGAAAAACTAAAAGTTTCTCTTTTTAACTTTAGTAATGTATACAGGAGAAGGGGTTTAAATTATTATTTGCGACCACTGTGAGCCTCAGAATTATCTCTGAGTTACCAGACCTTGCTACGTGGAGGTCAGTGTACACGTACACACTTGTGTCTCCTTGCCGGAGTTGATAGGTTTCAACCTGAAGCGTTAACAAGATGAAATACCTGTCAAAATTAATATAAGGAATGTGTTGGCTGACATATTGGCTAGGGGTACTAAGATTGTTACATCAAAAATAAATTCTGTTGCAGTTTGTTTTAACTCAGGTTGACTGGACTAATTTAGTGAATTTTAGAATTTTATACGTAATAATTGTTTTTCAGATCTCTTCGAGCACCACCCGAGATAATACGAGATATCCTCGAGGGTGTACTGCGCCTCATGGGGGTTCAAGATACTTCGTGGAATTCTATGAAAACTTTCTTAGCAAAGAGGGGTGTCAAGGAAGAAATAAGGTGTGCTGAAATGAGTTTTTTAATATAACTTGTTATATCTGAATGTTCTTCCAGCTCTACCCCTTAAGCCATCAGGAGAATTATGACATATCCCCAAAGTAGTCATCCATCATATCTATTCTTTGAATTACATTATCAAATTAACCCATTATATCACTTGTATATTATTTAAAAACTGACTTATTGGGTACTCATTTTCCCAAATGTTCAAACTTGGCCCACTGCTATTTTATATACTACATCTTTGTATTAGAGGGAATGAGGGATAGGGGTCATCCTAGGAAAGGATGGAGGGAGGAGGCAAAAGAGGTTTTGTATGCAAGGGGTTTAGACGTACAACAGGCATGTATGAGCGTGTTAAATAGGAGTGAGTATAGCTGAATGGATTTTGGGACTTTATGAGCTGTTGGAGTATGAGCTAGGTAATATTTTGTGAAGGAATTCAGGGAAATCGGTTAGCCAGACTTAGAGTCCTGGAGGTAGGAAGTACAATGCCTGTACTTTAACCCTTTGAGGGTTGAGACCCTCAATCCTGAACTCCAGCTCAGGGTCGTAAAATTTTCCCAAAAAAAAAAAATATTTCTTATGAAATGATAGAGAACTTTTCCCAATGGTAATGAAACCAAAAGCATGAAATTTGATGGAAAACTTACAGAATTATGCTCTCGTGAAGTTAGTGGTCTCGACGATTTTTATGCATTGGCAATTTTGCCCACTTTGAGCCCTGTTTTCAGCCAATACCTATGTTCCAGTCAACTAAAATCATAGCTATTTCGCTAGAACTCCATTTGTTCTATCGATTGAGTACAAGAAACTGTCCATTTACCGATTTCAACTACCCAATAAAGTGGTCAGAAACTGGGAATTTGGCCAATTTCACACAAATTTCAAAAGATGCCAATTTCAAAATAGGGTCCAGAATAAACAAGACAGACATTCCTTGTACTAAAATAACATTTTCTTTGTTCATTAGTCATGTCTCCAGGCCCCTCTTATATTCAAATTCAAATTCAAAGTTTATTCTCTATAAGGATTACAATGCTGAGTTTACAGAATTTGGTTATTGTGTGGTTTACATGTAGTAAAATAATGATTACAGAGTGTACCATTAGAACACCTAGTATGGCTAGGCATTTCGGGCAGACTAAGTTTAATTCTTAATTTTAAAATATTACAAATTATGAGGTAAGTTGGTATTATGGCTAAGTGACTAAATACGAGTTTGAAAGTTTAGCAATGTGAATGCTTTTGTTTTGGCACAGTACATAGTTTCAGTATTGGAGTATCACAGGATTCATTATTTTAAGATTGAGATTAATATTTCTGTTTATGGTCAAATGGGTGAGTGAGTGTAAGTGTGAACCACCAGGTGATATTCATGTAGTTAGTTGATGGGGTGTATCAGGGAGGTAAGATGTTTTCTAATGGTAGTTTTGAAGGTGATGAATGTGTCTGCAGTTCTAGAGTTCTCAGGTAGGGTGTTCCAGATTTTAGGGCCTTTGACATACATTGAATTTTTGTGAAGGTTTAGTCGGACACGGGGAATGTCGTAGAGATGTTTGTGTCTGGTGTTATGCCTGTGGGTTCTGTCACAACTATCAAGAAAGCATTTTAGGTCAAGGTTGATATTGGAGTTTAAGGTCCTGTAGATGTAGATTGCACAGTAGTAAGTGTGGATGTACTGAACAGGGAGTAAGTTTAGATCTATGAAGAGTGGGAGGGTGTGTTGCCAGGGATGGGATTTAGTGATTATTCTTACTGCAGCTTTTTGTTGGGTTATTATTGGCTTTAGGTGTGTTGCTGCAGTTGATCCCCAAGCACATATAGCATAGGTGAGGTATGGATAAATAAGTGAATATTTATTCTCACAAAAGCTAGAAGATTTACTGTTATGCAGACTACTGCATTATTGTAAAAATGGTACAGTGCTCTTGCGAAAGAATATTAGACTCAACAGTTGACGTGTGTTGGACACATGGTGTGATTTGTTTACTCTTGAACATTGGCAAAAATTGAATATTTCCGCTAATTTGAGCTCAATTTCAAGGTACTTTTCATTGTGAAACCAATCAGTATCATCTATATTTCTCTAACATATCTTCCATTCTATCAAATGAGATCAAGAAAACGAGAATAAAACCATAAATACCATATGGAAATACACTGCAAAGTTGCTGTTTTAAACCAAAAACATGGTCAGAGTTTTTTTTTTTTTCATTGTGCACTGTGTGCTGCAAGATTTTTTTTTATACTGCACACACTGACCATGCAGACCAGCTTTCTTCCACTAGATTTAAAGGTGCTAGAATTGTGGCGTATATATACATGACTGACACTGACTATTAAAACGTACATGTATGTGAACCAACCCTCAAAGGGTTAAAAGAGAGGTTTGGGATATTTGCTGTATAGAGTGACATCTAAACTGCTATATCTACGTGCCTCTGCAAAGAAAATGATAATTTGAATGATGGTGAGTGTGTTTCTTTTTTTGGGTCATCCTGCCTTGGTGGGAGATGATCAGTATGTTAAAAAAAAAAAAAAGAGATCTCTGGTCTTTTCACCAGCCCTTTATATTCCAATTTTGCAGTATAAAGCAAAACCCAATACTATTTTCAAACCAGATATTTTACAATTTTTTTATTTTTCAAAATATTCAGGGCACTGGGGTAGTGAACGTATATGTACATTTGGCGTTTGGACCGTTTAAGGGTTAACACTCAGTGTGCACTGCATTAAAAAAATCTGGGACCACTTAGTACCTTGTGGGAGCACCAGTTCAAATGAGCGCCAGCTAGGGCAAATAGTGCGGCAAACACCTGGGATTCACTGATTTCATGTAGTATTAACTCTCCCATTTTAAGAGGAAAGTGATGTTGACCCCGAGTTTAGTGGCTTTGAGGTGGATGCTGCCATAAATGGTAGAGGAAATATCAAAAAACCTTGATAATAACCCATGTGCAACACCCTTTCAGAATGCCTTATAACCTATGCCCTAAGTAAGGAGAAACAACTTTGGAATGTAATACTTGTTCAGCAGGCTGGCTGGCTGGCCGGCTGCTGGCAGCCTGGCTCTATCTCTGTTTGTCTGTCTGTATCAATGTCTGTCTCTGTCTATCTTTGTCTGTCTCTATCTGTCTCTATCTCTTTCTGTCTCTCTGTCTCTTTCTATCTGTCTCTGTCTATCTAATACAAGTATACATAGTATAAATTACCTAGGATAACCCAAAAATCCAGACAAAGTGCTATACTCTGCTTGAAGATATGAGTAAACTTTATGATGCAGTCTTGTGGCTCTCTCGGAGACAGAGAGCTAGACAGATAGACAGGGAGCCTGACAGACAGACAAATAGACGCACAGACATGTTTGTGTACCTGCGAAAACAAAGCGAGGGCCAATGCTCATCAGATGTCACCTCTTATCTTATCTTCTCTTATCACTGCACCCTCGCTTACACTCATCAAATGTCACCTCTTACCTTATGTTATCTCATCTTATCACTTCACTGTCAGGGGTGGACTGAGGCTTGTTTTACATGCTTCAAAGGAACTTATTATTACATATTCTTCTCTTCTTCTTCTTCTTATATACTCCCACATGCCCAAAACATTGCTGGGACTTATAAATACTTTGTATATATTCCAAGACAATAGTAAATGGCCAAGGCAGCTGTAAATGTCCACCTGTCAATGTGTTTGTGACAATTTGAGTACAATTTCAGTACCTAATACTAGTGTCAGAACAAAGATTGGTTATGAAATGACAAGAATTACTATAAATTGTAATTATCAGAACATAAAAATTATATAAAATATGAAAAGGAGAAAAAAAAGGTATATCGGCAACACTTCTGCAAGCGGCAGGACTTGAGGTTGCCATCAGGTGAGCATCCAGTGCCAACTTCTCAGCCTCATAGCTCTGTAAGTACTGACCCTATTTTTTTTTATCCTGTAACACTTGGAAAAATGTTCTCTTTCTTTCCATAAAAAAAAATTATTTTCCAAAATATTCAGGGCACTGGAGTAGTGAATGTATATATACGTTTGGACTGTTTATGGGTTAAAGCTATGTTTGGTACCTGCCTCCACTACCTCACTTTCCAGACTATTCCACTTCCTGACAACTCTGTGACCAAAGAAATACTTCCTAATATCCATGTGATTCATTTGAGTCTTCAACTTCCATAGTGACCCCTTGTTGCTATGTTCCATCTCTGGAACATCCTATCTCTCTCCACCTTGTCGATTCCTCTCAGTATTTTATGTCATTATCATGTCCCCCCATCCTCTAGTGCTGTCAGGTCGAGCTCCCTTAATCTTTCCTCATAGAACATACATTTATGTGAATAAATAACTTTTTTTTTAACATGTCAGTCATTTCCCACTGAGGCAGGGTAATCCAAAAAGAAAGAAAAACCCAAAAGGAAAGAAAAAACTTTCATCATCATTCAATACTTTCACCATCATTCATTCATAATCACTGTCTTTGCAGAGGCATGCATATATGACAGTTCAGATGTCATTCCAAACAGCCAATATCCCAAACTTCTTCTTTAATGTGCAGGCACTCTACTTACCACCTCCAAGACTCAAGTCCAGCTAACTGGTTTCCCTGATTCCCTTCACAAAATATTACCCTGCTCACACTCCAACAGCTTGTGAAGTTCCAAAAACCGTTTATCTCCATTCACTCCTATCTAACATGTACACACATACCTACTGTATGTCCAAGCCCCTTGCATACCAAGCCTCTTTTTACCCCCCTCCCTTCTCTCCACTACAGATTTATGCACCCTCCAAGTTATCCTGTTTTGCTCCATCCTTTCTAAATGACCAAACCTCCTCAACAACCCCTCCTCATCCTTCTGAATAATACTTTTAGTAACAACACACCTCTTCCTAATTTCCACACTATGAATTCCTGCATATTTACACCACACATTGCCCTTAGACATGACATCTCCACTGCCTCCAGCCTCCTTCTTGCTGCAGCATTTGCAACCCATCATGCTTCACACTAACATAACAGTGTTAGTACCATTATACTCTCATACATTTCCTTCTTTGCCTCCATGGATAACATTCTTTGTCTCCACAGATACCTCAATGCACCACTTGCCCTTTTTCCTTCATCAATTCTAAGGTTTACCTCATCCTTTATAAATCCATCTGCTGACAAATCTACTCCCAAATATCTGAACACATTTACTTCTTCCATACTCCTTTCCTCTAATGTGATATCCAGTTTCTCTTTACCTAACTCGTTTGATACCCTCATCACTTCACTCTTATCTGTGTTCACTTTCAACTTTACATCCCCTCCCAAACTCATTCATTAATCTTTGCAACTTCTCTTTAGAATCTCCCAAAAGCACAGTATCATTAGCAGAAAGAAACTGTGTCAATTCCCATTTTGTATTTGATTCTCCATAATTTAGTCCCATCCCTCTCCCAACCCTAGCATTTACCTCTTTTACAACCACATACATATAAATACTGTAAATAATGTTTCTTTGTTTACCTAGTAAATTTGTCATTTTCCCTTTATATGAGAGTTTAGAATTGTACATGATGCTTCACATTGTTTTCAGGAATTATGATCCAAGAGATGTAACATCAGAAGCTCGCAAATCAGTAGAAAAATTGCTTCATGAACGTGCAGATTCTTTTGATGCTTCAGCAGCTAAAAGAGCATCAACTGCAGCAGCACCGCTGGCAGCTTGGGTAAAAGCTAATGTACGATTCTCTTACGTCTTAGAAAAAGTAAAACCTTTAGAGAAAGAACAAGATAAACTACAAAGGTAAAAATGGCAGATAGTCTCTATGTTTCATGTTAGAGAATTATGTATAATACTGAATCATTATAAGATACAAGTTGAATAATCTATATAGTGTGTGATGAATGGTTTTGAAAACCGACAAGTTGAAGAATTGAGACACTCATGCAACATATGGGAATCTTTATTTGTTACATAAGTATCTCAATTCTTCAATCTATATAGTGTCATTGCTTTTAAGGAGGACAGCATGGGATTTTAACATTAATATAGTGCCTAATAGAATTTTCTTGAAATAATATATGCATTTAATAGTTAAAATTTTACAAATTTTGTATTCAGTATACCATTCCATGAACAATTCTTTAACCCTTCAGTACAGTCCTCATAGAGTTGTACAGTACACAATTTTTATTTATTGTAGAAATTTGGAGAAAGCAGAGGCTCAAATTGGAGAGCTGTCTGCTGGTTTGGATGATGTTGACAAGCAAGTGGCAGTACTGCGGGAAAAATTAAATCGCTCTACTAAAGAAGCTGCAGAGGTAGAATTTCATTTAAATAAAGCCAAGGAAACAATCACAGCTGCAGAAAGCCTCGTTACTAAACTGGAGGGAGAATATCAACGTTGGAGTCAACAGGTAAGATTTTTTTGAGAAAATACAGAACAAAAATTATGTTAATGGTAACTTGTAAAACAATCAGTTACATGTACAGGCATACCATGCTAATATGGCGTTTTGCTTTAGAGCGCTTCACTAATGTGGTGCCTTTCAATTATTTATTTTAACACGTCGGCCGTTTCCCACCAAGGCATGGTGACCCAAAAGAAAGGAAAAACTTTCACCACCATTCAGTACTTTCACCATCACTCATACATAATCAGGCACTCAGATACGACAGTTTAGATGTCCCTCCAAGCTGCCAATATCCCAAATGCCTCCTTTAAAGTGCAAGCATTGTATTTCCCATTTCCAGGACTTAAGTCCAGTTTCCCTGAATCCTTTCATGATATATTACGCTGCTCACACTCCAGCATTTCATCAGGTCCCAGAAACCATTGGTTTCCATTCACTCCTATCTAACACGCTCGCACACATTGGAAGTCCAAGCCCCTCACCCACAAAACCTCATTTACCCCTTCCTCCAACCTTTTCGAGGACTATCCCTGCCCCACCTTCCTTCTCCTACAGATTTATACTCTCTCCAAGTCATTCTACTTTGTTCCATTCTCTCTAAATGACCAAATCACCTCAACAACCCCTCTTCAGCCCTCTGACTAATACCTTTAGTAACTCCGCACCTCCTCCTAATTTTCACACTACGATTTCTTTGCATAATATTTACACCACACATTGCTCTTAGACACAACATCTCCACTGCCTCCTGCTTTCTCCTTGCTGCAGCATTCACAGCCAATGCCTCACATCCATATAAAATTGTTGGCACCACTGTACTCTTGTACATTCCCTTCTTTGCCTACATGGATAATATTTTTTTGTCTCCACAGATACCTCAGTGCACCACTCACCTTCTTTCCTTCATCAATTCTATGGTTAACCTCAATTTTCATAAACCCATATGCTGATAAAGTCAACTCCCAGATATCTGAACACATTCACTTCAAAAAACGTTATCTATGGATGCAAAGAAGGGAATGTATGAAAGTATAGTAGTACCAACACTCTTATATGGGTGTGAAGCTTGGGTGGTAAATGCAGCAGCGAGGAGACGGTTGGAGGCAGTGGAGATGTCCTGTCTAAGGGCAATGTGTGGTGTAAATATTATGCAGAAAATTCGGAGTGTGGAAATTAGGAAAAGGTGTGGAGTTAATAAAAGTATTTGTCAGAGGGCAGAAGAGGGGTTGTTGAGGTGGTTTGGTCATTTAGAGAGAATGGATCAAAGTAGAATGACATGGAAAGCATATAAATCTATAGGGGAAGGAAGGCGAGGTAGGGGTCGTCCTCGAAAGGGTTGGAGAGAGGGGGTAAAGGAGGTTTTGTGGGCAAGGGGCTTGGACTTCCAGCAAGCGTGCATGAGCGTGTTAGATAGGAGTGAATGGAGACGAATGGTACTTGGGACCTGACGATCTGTTGGAGTGTGAGCAGGGTAATATTTAGTGAAGGGATTCAGGGAAACCGGTTATTTTCATATAGTCGGACTTGAGTCCGAGGAGGAGTTTGGGATATTGGCAGTTTGGAGGGATATGTTGTGTATCTTTATATGTGTGTGCTTCTGAGCTGTTGTGTTCTGAGCGCCTCTGCAAAGGCAGTGATTGTGTGTGAGTGTGGTGAAAGTGTTGAATGATGATGAAAGCATTTTCTTTTTGGGGATTTTCTTTCTTTTTTGGGTCACCCTGCCTCGGTGGGAGATGGCCGACTTGTTGAAAAAAAAAAAAATCACTTCTTCCATACTCCCTCCCTCCAATGTGATATCCAATTTTCTTTATCTAAATCATTTGAGACCCTCATCACCTTACTCTTATTTATGTTCACTTTCAACATTCTACCTTTACACACCTTCCCAAACTCATCCACTAACCTTTGCAACTTTTCTTTAGAATCTCCCACAAGCACAGTGTCATCAGCAAAAAGTAACTATGTCAATTCCTATTTTGTATTTGATTTGCCATAATTTAATCCCACCCCTCTCCCCAACACCCCAACATTTATTTTTTTTTACAACCCCATTACATTATGTTTATATATATATTCATTGTCATGCAAGATTTTAGGTATGTCCTGTTACTTCTACTTACACTTAGGTCGCACTACACATGCATGTACAAGCATATATACATGCACCCCTCTGAGTTTTCTTCTATTTTCTTACTAGTTCTTGTTCTTATTTCCTCTTATCTCCATGGGGAAGTGGAACAGAGTTCTTCCTCCATAAGCCATGTGTGTCGTAAGAGTCGACTAAAATGCTGGGAGCAAGGGGCTAGTAATCCCTTCTCCTGTATACATTACTAAAGTTAAAAAGAGAAACTTTTGTTTTTCTTTTTGGGCCACCCGCCTCTGTGGGAAGTGGCTGATTTGTTGAAAGAAGATATGTTCATTATATTTTATGTTTAATTAGTATTACACCTAGTTTAAATGAACCCAAAAGTGCTTTGCACATATAAAGGCTTTCTCATATTAGAAATCCTATTAACTCTTTGACTGTTTTGGTCGTATATATACGTCTTAAGAGCCAGTGTTTTTGACGTATATATACTCTTTAATTCTAGCAGCTTCAAATCAAGCAGGAGAAAGCTGGTAGGCCCACATGTGAAAGAATGGGTCTGTGTGGTCAGTGTGCACCACATAAAAAGAATCCTGCAGCATGAAGTGCATAATGAGAAAAAAAACTGACTGTTTTTTTGGATTAAAACGCCGACTTTGAGGTGTATTTTTGCATAGTATTTATCATTGTATTCTCATTTTCATGGTCTCATGTGATAAAATGGAAAACATTTGCAGAAATAGAGATGATTTTGATTAGTTTCACGATGAAAACAACCTTGAAATTGAGTGGAAATGTTCGATTTTTACCAATTTTCAAGAGTAAGCAAATCACACCACATGTCCAATACACATCAACTGGGGAGTCTGATATTCTTTCACTAGTGCACTGATATTATTTATACCATTTTTACAATAATGCAGTGGCCTGCATAACAGTAAATTTTGTATTTTTTTGTATGAATAAAAAATCAAAATAGAAAGCAATAGTAATATAAGAGGGGCCTAGAGACATGACTAATGAACAGAGGATATGTTATTTTAGTGCCAAGAATGTCTACATTGTTTATTCTGGACCCTATTCTGAAATTGGCATTTTTTTTAATTTGAATGAAATTGGCCAAATTGCCAGTTTCTGATCACTTAATTGGGTAGTTCGTATCGGTAAATGGGCGGTTTCTTGTACTCAATTAATAGAAAAATAGAGTTCTAAAGAAATAGCTATGAGTTTGGTCAACTGGAACAATGGAATTGGCCAAAAACAGGGCTCAAAGTTGGCGAAATCGCCAATCCGTATATGCCGCCGAGACCGCTAACTTCGTGGGAGTGTAATTCCGTGAGTTCTAGACCAAATTTTGTACTTTTGATGTCATTACCATCGGGAAAAGATTCCCTATCATTTCATAAGAAAAAATAATTTTTTTTTTTTTTTTTCCAAAAATTTTGCGACATAGAATGACAGTTTCAGAAAGGGGCTGGGAACAGTCAAAGGGTTAACACAAATGTATCTTCTTGGAAGATAAATGATCATGATTATGTATAATACAGTATTTATATTTGTTGCAGGTGTCTGAGTTAGATTCAAGTATAAAAGGTCTGCCACGGGAGGCTCTCTTAGCTGCGTCATTCATTAGTTATCTGAGTGAAGCTCCAGAAGACACGAGGAAAACTACCATGGCCCTTTGGAGTCGCATGTTACAGGTGTCTGGCTTTGACTTAAGAAGGTTAGTTTCTTTAACACTGCAAGTATAACTTATAAACCTTTAAAATATTTTAATATGTTCAGGCAGTACATTCCTTAATTGTCTAGTTTTTTAAAATGCTATTTTTAAAACAGTAATAATAATAACATGCATTACATTTTATTGAAATGTACAATTGTCTTTGGGAAATGCATGCAATTGGAAAATGCCCATTATTTTGTGGAGTATTTCAGATAGATCTTGACTAATTAGAGGTTACATAAAGGTATTACAAGGAAGGCATTGTCTGTTAAAAAGCTGACTGATGAACTGATGAACAGAGAAAATGTTATTTTAGTGCCAGGAATGTCTGCAGTGTTCATTCTGGACCCTATTTTGAAATTGACATATTTTTTAGTTTGCATGAAATTGGCCAAATTGCCAATTTCTGACCACTTCATTGGGTAGTTGAAATCAGTAAATGGGCAGTTTCTTGTACTCAATCAATAGAACAAATGGAGTTCTAAAGAAATAGCTATGAGTTTGGTCGACTGGAACAATGGATTTGGCCGAAAATAGGGCTCAAAGTCGGCAAAATCACTGATGCGTAAGTGTCTCCTAGGTCACTAACTTTGCGAGAGCGTAATTCCGTAAGTTTCCATCAAATTTTGTACTTTTGGTGTCATTATCATTGGGAAAAGATTCTCTATCATTTCATAAGAATTTTTTTTTTTTTTTTTTTTTTTTTTTTTTCCAAATATTTTGTGACACCAAGAGACACTTCAGGATTTGGGGTTGCAACAATCAAAGGGCTAACAAAGTGATCAGAAATTGGTAATTGGCCAATATCAAACAAAATTCAGAAATTACCAATTTAAAAATAGGGCTCAGAATAAACAATGTAGACTTTCCTGGCACTAAAAAACATTTCTTCTGTTCCTTAGTCACATCTCCAGGCCCCTTTTATATTACACTTGCTTTCCATTTTGAATTTTTATTCACACAAAATTAGAAGATTTACTGTTTTGCAGACTATTGCATTATTGTAATAATTGTATAAATAAGGTCAGTGCATTCCTAAATGTTTATTAGATTGGCAGGCTGGATGCATATTGGACAAGTGTACTCTGGAATATCGGCAAAACTCGAACATTTCCACTACTTTGAGCTCAATTTTAGTCCTGAAACCATTCAAAATCATCTTTATTTCTGTAATATATCTTCCATTCTATCAAAGAGACCAAGAAACTGAGAATACAACCATAAAAACCGTATAAAAATACACGACAAAGTCACCGTTTTAATCGAAAAATATGGTCGCAATTTTTTTCTCGTGCTGTGTGCTGCAAAATTTTTTTTATATGGTGCATGCTTACAGCATAGACCCATTCTCTCATATCTAGGCCCAGATTTACTGCTTAAGGCTTATCTGAGTGAGTTAAGCTCATGGCATTGTACTACTGGACCAACATTGGCTTCAAAGCCATTATCTAACAGGACCGACACTGAGAGGGTTAATGCAGAAGGCTAGTGACCCAGTAAAAACATGTCATTGGACTATCAGGCTTATTTCCATTGGTGTTCTTTAATCTTCTCCAGGATATGACCCACACCAGTCTGCTAACACCCAGGTATGTACTTAATACAAGGTGAAGAGGGGGCAACAGGTGTAAGGAAACATACCCAACATTTCCACTCATCTGAGGATTGAACCCAGGCCCCTTAGTGTGTGAGTTGAATCTGCAACCAGTTGAGACATGAGCACTCTATACAAATTTGCAGATAGTGTTGCATATCAGATAAAACATTGGGTAGAAAGGCTATGATGGCCCAAGGGTGAAGGCTCAACAAGTCACTCACTTTTTACTACTATTCCTTATCATAAAAAATAAATTTGTAGAGATAAGTGGATGGAATAGGTAGTAAGTTACTAAATGCTGTAGAGTTTTTATGAGGATAGTGATGCTCAGGTTAGGGTGTGTAGGAGAGAGATTACTTCCCAATAAAAGTAGGTCTTAGACAGGGATGTGTAATGTCATTATGGTTGTTTAACGTATTTATAGATGGGGTTGTAAAAAGTAAATGCTAGGGTGTTGGGGAGAGGGGTGGGATTAAATTATGGGGAATCAAATACACAGTGGGAGTTGACACAGTTACTTTTTGCTGATGATACTGTGCTTTTGGGGAATTCTAAAGAAAAATTACAAAGGTTCGTGGACGAGTTTGGGAGGGTGTGTAAAAGTAGAAAGTTGAAAGTGAATATAGATAAGAGTAAGGTGATGTGGATATCAAAAGATTTAGATAAAGAAAAATCAGATATCATATTGGAAGGAGGGAGTATGGAAGAATTGAATGTTATCAGATATTTGGGAGTTGACCTGTCAGCAGATGGGTTTATGAAGGGTAAGGTTAACCATAGAATTGTTGAAGGAAAAAGGTGAGTGGTGTGTTGAGGTATCTGTGGAGACAACGTTATCCATAAATGCAAAGGAGGGAATGTACCAGAGTATAGTGGTACCAACACTCTTATGTGGGGGTGAAGCATGGGTTGTAAATGCTGCAACGAGGATGGGGCCAAAGGCAGTGGAGATGTTGAGTCTAAGGGCAACATGTGGTGTAAATACAGTGGACACCTGAGTTTCGTGATTAATCCATTCCAGAGAGCCTGCCAAAAGTCGGAATTCACGAATGTTAAAACCATTTTCCCCATAACAAATAATGTAAGTCCAATTAATCCATTCCAGGGACTCAAAAGTATTAACAAAAATTATTTTTTTTATAGATTAAATATAGATTTACATACAGAAAAGAATGAGAAATCAAGTATAAAACAATAACAACATCACACTTACCTTTATTGAAGACACTTGTTGGTATATTGAAGACGGGAGGAGGGGAGAGGATGGAGAAGTTACACTGTTGTTTGGAAAGGGAATCCTCTTCCATAAAGGGAAATCCCTTTCCATAAAGAGAGGTCTTGCAGCTCTACCCTCAACCATCATCACTACCACCCTCTACCACCATCACTACCACCCTCTACCACCATCACTACCACCCTCTACCACCCTCTACCACCATCACAACCACTACCACCCTCTACCACCATCACAACCACTACCACCCTCTACCACCATTGCAACTGCCACCACCATCACTACCACCCTCTACCACCATCACAACCACTACCACCCTCTACTACCATCACTATCACCATCAAAACCACTACCACCCTCTACCACCACTACTTTCATATTTTTCTACAAACTTTTTCTTTAATTCTATCGTGTTTCTCACCTTCGTTACCAAAGGGCAGGCACTAGAAGCTTTCTCTGGACCCATGGTGGCTTATTTAACAGTTGCAAGCACAAAAAAGAATGGATTATTATGAAATGTATCATATGAACACATGGGGTGATGGTCACTCGACCAGAAACAATGCCACACTGACTCTGAATGGTGTGTGGGAGCCTTTGTGTACGCTTGGCTGCTGGGAGGCCACTCGGATGCGTTCCGTACTACCGACGAATCACGAGGCAAATCACGAAACGTGAGGCTATATTTGATGAAGCGCGATGCTCGTGAAACTCAGGGGTCCACTGTATTATGCAGAGAATTCGTAGTGTTTTCTTCTATTTTCTTTCGAGTTCTTGTTCTTGTTTATTTCCTCTTATCTCCATGGGGAAGCAAGGAGCTAGTAACCCCTTCTCCTGTATAATTTACTAAATTTAAAAAGAGAAACTTTTGTTTTTCTTTTTGGGCCACCCTGCCTTGGTGGCATGTGGCCGGTTTGTTGAAAGAAAGAAGAAGAAACATGCAAGGTTTCAAGTATGTCTTGCTACCTCTACTTACACTTAGGTCACACTACACATACATGTACAAGCATATATATACACATCCCTCTGGGTTTTCTTCTATTTTCCTACTAGTTCTTGTTTTTGTTTATTTCCTCTTACCTCCATGGGGAAGTGGAACAGAATTCTTCCTCCATAAGCCATGCGTGTTGTAAGAGGCAACTAAAATGCCAGGAGCAAGGGGGCTAGTAACCCCTTCTCCTGTATATATTACTAAATGTAAAAGGAGAAACTTTCATTTTTCCTTTCGGGCCACCCTGCCTCGGTGGGATACGGCCGGTGTGTTGAAAGAAAGAAGTACGTACTAAATATTTCAGTCTCATACTGAGGTCCTCTTCTGCAGACTAAGAAGTGCATAATAGATGAATCATATATACAGTAGCAATTCATTAGGTGCAGTTGCAGGTGTAGAAACAAACATCTTTACAAAGGTAGTTCTAGCAGTTTTCACTGGTCTTGTAGGATGATAATGTTAGATCATGATGCAGTCATAGCTGTCTTACAGATTTTGCATTTGTACACACAGTTTGCATTCTTCTGATTTATTGTCTCCATGATTGTTCAGTCATGCCATTGACCAATGTTTGTTACATTTACAGTGGAAACCCAGATATCGGCCAATACAGATATCGGCCAAATAGGATTTCGGCTGCTTTTTTGGGCGAAATTCTGTTCTTGATTTTGGCCAGCAACTCAGAAATCGGCTGTATTAGACGTGTCTGCCCGCCACTCTGCCGCGTTCGTGAGTCAGTCTGGCTGTATCTCTGGGCAAGTGAGCAACACTCCACACATTCATCCAAACATTTCATTATAATCCATTGTTTTTTGTGGTTCTTTATTGAGTGTGACTGCAAAATAAGCCACCATGGGCCCAAAAGAAGTTCCTAGTGCCAGCCCTTTGGTAAAGAAAGTGAGGAACATGATAGAATTCAAGAAAGAAATTGTAGCAAAGTACAAAAAGTGGTGTACATATTCTCCAGCTTGCCAGGATGTATGGCAAATCCAAATCAACAATCACTTCCATCCTAGCAAAGAAAGTAGAAATCAAGGAAGCTAATGTTGCAAAAGGGGTAAAAATGCTAACGAAACAAAGATCACCCATAATTAAAGATGTGGAGAAGTTATTGTTGGTGTGGATCAACGATAAACAATTAGCGGGAGATAGTGTTGTGGAGTCAATCATTTGTGAAAAGGCAAGGCAGGTACATGTAGATCTCGTAAAGAAAATGCATGGAACGAGTGCTGTTGTTAGTGAATTTAAGGCCAGCAGAGGCTGGTTCAACAGATTCAAGAAGCGTAGTGGCATACACAGTGTTTTAAGGCATGATGTGGCTGCAAGTTCAAACAAATGTGCAACTGAAGAATTCGTGCATGAATTCAAGGAGCCCATAGAGGCTGAAGGATTCCTCCCCCAACAAGTGTTCAGTTGTGATGAAACAGGCCTCTTTTGGAAGAAAATGCCAAAGAGGACCTACATCACACAGAAGGAAAAGACACTGCCAGGACACAAGCCTATGAAAGATAGGCTTACTCTTTTGTTCTGTGGTAATGCTAGTGGGGATTTGAAAGTGAAGCCATTACTGGTGTATCACTCTGAAAATCCCAGGGTGTTCAAGAAAAGCAATGTCGTTAAGAGTAAATTGTGTGTTGTGGAAAGCTAATAATAAGGCAAATTTTCATTGACTGGGTCCATGAAGTGTTTGGCCCAAGTGTGAAGAAATACCTTCAGGAAAATAAATTGCCACTTAGGTGCCTCCTGGTACTGGACAATGCTCCTGCTCATCCTCCAAACATGTCGACCCTGTCGACCCTCTGCCTGTTGTGGAATCTTTTGTCTGGGGAAGTCCACGGGGTTGGAGGTGAGTGGCGAGGATGTGGAAGAGTTGGTGGAGGACCACGGGGAAAAGCTAACCAGTGAAGAGCTGCAAGATCTTCATCTGCAGTTGCAACAGACCACAGCTGAGGAAATTCCTTCAGAGGAGGAGGAAGAGAGAGGGAAGAATGTGCCTTCTTCAGTGATTAAGGACATGTGTGCAAAGTGGAGTGAGTTGCAGAGTTTTGTGGAGAAATATCACCCTGACCAAGCACAAACAAGCCGTATCTGCAACATGTTCATTGACAAAACCTTTTCCCACTTCAGGCAAATCCTAAAGAAATGCCAGAAATAGACCTCTCTGGACAGTTTTTTTTTTTTTTTTTTTTTTTTTGTGCAACAGGGATGCAGTGACTCTGAAGCTGGTCCTAGTACCAGTAAAAAACCAAGAAGGGAAGTAACCCCAGAGAGGGCTTTGATACCTGAAGTCCTTATGGAGGGGGATTCCCCTTCCAAATAATAACCCCAACTCCCTCTCCCCTCCTCGTCTTCTTCAATACGCCAACAAGAGTCTTCAATAACGGTATGTAATGTTCATTTATCATTAAAATTTGTGCTTTATATTTATTTCTCATTGTTTTCTGTATGTAAAACTAAAGTTAATCTTTAAAAAATTTATTTTTTGTTAATATTTTGGGGTGTCTGGAACAGATTAATTGTATGTTCATTAATTCTAATGGGAAATATTACTTTGGTCTTCGGCTTTTTCACATTAAGGCCAATCATCTGGAGCAGATTATGGCCGAAATCCGGGGTTCCACTGTATATGTTAATTATACATTAGTAAATGTATTGTAAGTAGGTTGATGCATACAAGATCAATGAAGGTACTACATACTGTCATAAATGCCATATAATATGAATTCATTAGTTTATATATATTGTACATCCTAGGTAGTAGGTTGGTACACAGCAACTGCCCAGGGAGGTACCATCATCCTGCCAAGTGAGTGTAAAACAGAAGCCTGTAATTGTTTTACATGGTAAGATTGATGGTGTCTTTTTTCAGTCTCATAAACATGCAAGATTTCAGGTACGTCTTGCTAATTCTACTTACACTTAGGTCACACTACACATGCATGTACAAGCGTATATATACGCACCCCACTGGGTTTTCTTCTGTGTTCTTGCCAGTTCTTGTTTTTGTTTATTTCCTCTTATCTCCATGGGGAAGTGGAACAGAATTCTTCCTCTGTAAGCCATGTGTGTCATTGGAGGTGACTAAATGCCAGGAGCAAGGGGCTAGTGACCACTTCTCCTGTATACATTACTAATTTTAAAAAGAGAGACTTTTGTATTTCTTTTTGGGTCACCCTGCCTCGGTGGGATGTGGCTGGTTAAAAAAAAATATATTGTACATATGTATATGTATTAATTTACAGATTCTTAAGCAGTGAGAGGGAACAGCTGCAGTGGAAGGCAGAAGGACTTCCATCTGATCAGTTATCTATTGAAAATGCTCTCGTAATACTCCAGGTACGGTATGATATTGATGTTTTGAAATTTTTCATATGCTTTAATAGAATTTTAATAATGCAATTTTTCTAAAGAAAAATTTCATTATTAAAATTTGCATTATAAAATTCTAAAGAAAAATTGCAAAGGTTAGTGGACAAGTTTGGGAGTGTGTGTAAAGGTAGAAAGTTGAAAGTGAACATAGATAAGAGTAAGGTGATGAGGGGTATCAAATGATTTAGATTAAGAAAAATTGGATATCAAATTGAGGAGGAAGAGTATGGAAGAAGTGAATGGTTTCAGATATTTGGAAGTTGACATGTCAGCAGATGGATTTATGAAGGATGAGGTTAATCATAGAATTGATGAAGGAAAAAAGGCGAGTGGTGCATTGAGGTATATGTGGAGACAAAAAATGTTATTTTTGGAGGCAAAGAAGGAAATGTATGAAAGTATAGTAGTACCAACACTCTTCTATGGGTGTGAAGCTTGGGTTGTCAGTGCTGCAGCGAGGAGGAGGTTGGAAGCAGTGGAGATGTCCTGTCTAAGGGCAATGTGTGGTGTAAGTATTGTGCAGAAAATTCGGAGTGTGGAAGTTAGGAGGTGTGAAGTTAATAAAAGTATTAGTCAGAGGGTTGAAGAAAGGTTGTTGAGGTGGTTTGGTCATTTAGAAAGAATAAATCAAAGTAGAATGACATGGAGAGCGTATAAATCTGTAGGGGAAGGAAGGCGGGGTAGGGGTCGTCCTCAAAAACGTTGGAGATAGGGGGTAAAGGAGGTTTTGTGGGCGAGGGGCTTGGCCTTCCAGCAAGCGTGCATGAGCGTGTTAGAAAAGAGTGAATGGAGACGAATGGTATTTGGGACCTGACGAGCTGTTGGAATGTGAGCAGGGTAATATTTAGTGAAGGGATTCAGGGAAACCGGTTATTTTTATATAGCTGGACTTGAGTCGTGGAAATGGAAAGTACAATGCCTGCACTTTAAAGGAGGGGTTTGGAATATTGGCAGTTTGGAGGAATATGTTGTGTATCTTTATACGTATATGCTTCTAAGCTGTTGTGTTCTGAGCACCTCTGCAAAAACAGTGATTATGTGTGAGTGAGGCGAAAGTGTTGAATGATGATGAAAGTATTTTCTTTTGGGGGATTTTCTTTCTTTTTGGGTCACCCTGCCTCGGTGGGAGACGGCCGACTTGTTAAAAAAAAAAAAGAAAATACAGTATATATGTATATAGATATACATACACATGTATATACAGTGGACCCCCGCATAACGATATTATTTCAATCCAGAAGTTTGTTTGGGTGCCGTTATAGACCGAATTTGTTCCTATAAGAGATATTGTGAATTAGATTAGTCCATTTCAGACCCCCAAAAATACACCTACAAAAGCACTTACAAAAATACACTTACATAACTGGTCGAGTTGGGAGCTGATCGTTATGCTGGGGTCCACTGTATATATATATATATATATATAGGGAGGTACCATGTGTATACTTGTACATACATACATATACACACTTTCCATTTCCAAGACTCAAGTCCGGATAACCAGTTTCCCTGAATCCCTTCACAAAATATTACCCTGCTCACACTCCAACAGCTCGTCAGGTCCCAAAAATCATTCATTTCCATTCACTCCTATCTAACACGCTCACACACGCTTGCTGGAAGTCTGAGCCCCTCACCCACAAAACCTCCTTTACCCCCTCCCTCCAACCTTTTCAGGGATGACTCCTATCCCACCTTCCTTTCCCAACAGATTTATATGCTCTCCAAGTCATTCTACTTTGTTCCATTCTCTCTGAATGATCAGGTATAATGCTAAGTCAAGCCAGGTATGCATTAACAATTCACCTCAGTTCATCTTTCACAAAAACACATCCTGTGGGTGAAGGTATACACTGAATGCCCCTGGGCATGTTCACTGATGAGTGAAGCCTTGAAAGCAAGGTTAATCTCTAAATGTTTTTCTCCACTTTGATGCAGCTTTTTTTTTTTTTTATGCACCAGTCATCAAAAATTTGCATTTATCCAGGTCCTCTTACAAAAAGATTTACATTTGGGTCTTATACTAGGATAATATACATATATGAAATGTCAAATATGTTGTATTGTGTTTTTCCAAGCCCCAGTTATGCTTTTTCCATATAGTGATTGAAGGCAGTAATATTTGAAAAGAAAAGATTAAGTGAAGAATGTTATTGTGGAAAGAGGTGAGGTCATAGATACATATCATAACACCTGCTTTCTACTCCACATTACTTCAGCTCTCATTCAGATTCATATCTGAACTTCTGGTAGAAAATAAATTCTGCACTTATGAAATCATGCACTTAGAATATAGGATATGGAATTTAGGGGTGTACCTTACAGTACTGATAATGCTAGTAACTGATAATGCTAGTAACCCCTTCTCCTGTATACAATTACTAAAACAGAGAAGAAGAAAAATTTTATAAAACTGGGTTGCTTAAATGTGCGTGGATGTAGTGCGGATGACAAGAAACAGATGATTGCTGATGTTATGAATGAAAAGAAGTTGGATGTCCTGGCCCTAAGCGAAACAAAGCTGAAGGGGGTAGGAGAGTTTGAGTGGGGGGAAATAAATGGGATTAAATCTGGAGTATCTGAGAGAGTTAGAGCAAAGGAAGGGGTAGCAGTAATGTTAAATGATCAGTTATGGAAGGAGAAAAGAGAATATGAATGTGTAAATTCAAGAATTATGTGGATTAAAGTAAAGGTTGGATGCGAGAAGTGGGTCATAATAAGCGTGTATGCACCTGGAGAAGAGAGGAATGCAGAGGAGAGAGAGAGATTTTGGGAGATGTTAAGTGAATGTATAGGAGCCTTTGAACCAAGTGAGAGAGTAATTGTGGTAGGGGACTTGAATGCTAAAGTAGGAGAAACTTTAGAGAGGGTGTGGTAGGTAAGTTTGGGTGCCAGGTGTAAATGATAATGGAGCCCTTTGATTGAACTTTGTATAGAAAGGGGTTTAGTTATAGGTAATACATATTTTAAGAAAAGAGATAAATAAGTATACAAGTATGATGTAGGGCGAAATGACAGTAGTTTGTTGGATTATGTATTGGTAGATAAAAGACTGTTGAGTAGACTTCAGGATGTACATGTTTATAGAGGGGCCCACAGATATATCAGATCACTTTCTAGTTGTAGCTACACTGAGAGTAAAGGTAGATGGGATACAAGGAGAATAGAAGCATCAGGGAAGAGAGAGGTGAAGGTTTATAAACTAAAAGAGGAGGCAGTTAGGGTAAGATATAAACAGCTATTGGAGGATAGATGGGCTAATGAGAGCATAGGCAATGGGGTCGAAGAGGTATGGGGTAGGTTTTAAAATGTAGTGTTAGAGTGTTCAGCAGAAGTTTGTGGTTACAGGAAAGTGGGTGCAGGAGGGAAGAGGAGCGATTGTGGAATGATATGTAAGAGAGTAGTAAGGGAGAAAAAGTTAGCATATGAGAAGTTTTTACAAAGTAGAAGTGATGCAAGGAGGGAAGAGTATATGGAGAAAAGAGAGAAGTTAAGAGAGTGGTGAAGCAATGTAAAAAGAGAGCAAATGAGAGAGTGGGTGAGATGTTATCAACAAATTTTGTTGAAATAAGAAAAAGTTTTGGAGTGAGATTAAACAAGTTAAGAAAGCCTAGAGAACAAATGGATTTGTCAGTTAAAAATAGGAGAGGAGAGTTATTAAATGGAGAGTTAGAGGTATTGGGAAGATGGAGGGAATATTTTGAGGAATTGTTAAATGTTGATGAAGATAGGGAAGCTGTGATTTCGTGTATAGGGCAAGGAGGAATAACATCTTGTAGGAGTGAGGAAGAGCCAGTTGTGAGTGTGGGGAAGTTCGTGAGGCAGTAGGTAAATGAAAGGGGGTAAGGCAGCCGGGATTGATGGGATAAAGATAGAAATGTTAAAAGCAGGTGGGGATATAGTTTTGGAGTGGTTGGTGCAATTATTTAATAAATGTATGGAAGAGGGTAAGGTACCTAGGGATTGGCAGAGAGCATGCATAGTTCCTTTGTATAAAGGCAAAGGGGACAAAAGAGAAGTGCAAAAATTTATAGGGGGATAAGTCTGTTGAGTGTACCTGGTAAAGTGTATGGTAGAGTTATAATTGAAAGAATTAAGAGTAAGACGGAGGAATAGGATAGCAGATGAACAAGGAGGCTTTAGAAAGGTAGGGGGTGTGTGGACCAGGTGTTTACAGTGAAACATATAAGTGAACAGTATTTAGATAAGGCTAAAGAGGTCTTTGTGGCATTTATGGATTTGGAAAAGGCGTATGACAGGGTGGATAGGGGGGCAATGTGGCAGATGTTGCAAGTGTATGGTGTAGGAGGTAGGTTACTGAAAGCAGTGAAGAGTTTTTACGAGGTTTAGTGAGGCTCAAGTTAGAGTATGTAGGAAAGAGGAAATTTTTTTCCCAGTAAAAGTAGGCCCCTTAGACAAGGATGTGTGAGTCACCGTGGTTGTTAATATATTTATAGATGGGTTGTAAGAGAAGTAAATTGCGAGGGTCTTGGCAAGAGGCGTGGAGTTAAAAGATAAAGAATCACACACAAAGTGGGAGTTGTCACAGCTGCTTTTTTGCTGATGACATGTGCTCTTGGGAGATTCTGAAGAGAAGTTGCAGAGATTGGTGGATGAATTTGGTAGGGTGTTGCAAAGAAGAAAATTAAAGGGAATAAGGAAGAGAAAGGTTATGAGGATAACAAAAAGATTAGGTGATGAAAGAATTGAATATCAGATTGGAGGGAGAGAGTATGGGGGGAGGTGAACGTATTCAGATATTTGGGAATGGACGTGTCAGCGGATGGGTCTATGAAAATGAGGTGAATCATGAATTGATGAGGGAAAAAAGGGGTGAGTGGTGCACTTAGGAGTCTGTGGAGACAAAGAACTTTGTCCCTTTGGGGGCAAAGAGGGGAATGTATGGAGGGATAGTTTTACCAACGCTCTTATATGGGTGTGAAGCGTGGGTGATGAATGTTGCAGCG